GTCAGTTTGTTGTTTTATACACATGCACACAGACATTATTATTTCATACAAGACATAGTCGTGAGATGCAAGAAACATAGACATATGGCAAGAAATCTGTAGACGCGCCCATAACAACAAAAGACAATACTTTATTGAACCTTTTCTGATAAGAAGTGTGCACCGCAAATGCGAGCATTTTTGACAATCGTTTCTGTCCAGTCTGCTCATTTTATCGCGTTTAACCACAGCTGTCATCGTTTTTTTTTGTCTGGCAGTGGCAGCAGATATGTGATCTAATTTCTAATTTGAGGCTGTATTACGTCGATTCTGGCACCCAACATCACAACAAGATGATATTTTAAGCTCCTTATGTAGCCGAATCTGCGCTGGTTTGAATGGGCCGCCTCCAGTTTCTCCTTTGTTTTGCTGCCTCCAACTAGCGCTGTGACGTCGGCTGACCCTAGTTACCTGTGGTTGGCCTGGCCATGCGTCACTCAGAAAACAACAAGCCACTCAGAAAACAACAGGCCAATCAGAAGAGAGGCTCATGCATATTAATTAGAGAGGACAAAATCGACTTGTTCTCAGAAAAGCTCCTGAGAGAGGAGCTGTAAAAATATATTGAGATGGTTTTTGGTACTTATACCACAACTATATATTCTTAAGGACATCAAAACCTAAAAGAAAACTCCAGAAAGGTGTAAAATATATGACCTTTAATTATCACGTGCACGTGGCGGCCATTGTAAGTCCATGAGACGGCGAGTGCACATGAAGTGTTCCATTTGGGACAGGGCCTATAGTGTTACACACAAAAAAAGCATTTAGGAAAGCACTCAGATCAGTTTAACATCTTTTGTAATAACATAGTGTAAATTAAGTGATCATGAAGCCACTAGAGCATTTACGGTAGTTTTGTGGCAGATTGACATCTGCGCATGTGCATAGCGTGTGTCTGTACGAGTTGAAAAGGTAAAGAGATAACTTGCTCTACCGACATCTATATTTTATTTTATTCCTTTCTGTTTGTGACCTGAGTTGGATGCTTGTGTACTTTTTTTCCTCACTCGTTCCCCCATGTATGTGGACGAGTGTGTCAGTGCTTGAGGTGTTTTATTAAACTCGGGAAAATACGACATCTTCTTGTCTCCCATGCATTATTAGCCCCACACAGTTTCCCATCTGGGCTGTTTAACATTTCAACTCGGTGTTACAAAGTGCTCTTTAAAGTATTTTTTTTTAAGTATTTTAAGGTATTTTTTATTTTACTTAAAAAATATATATATATATGAAGATGTACTTGTTTTATGAGATGTACTTGAATTATATGGTAATTCAAAGGATTGACTTTAATCTCTCTCTGTTATAGTTCAGTTCAGCAGAAGAGATCAGAAGCAGAGTCCAGCTGTGTGTCTATGAGGAGTGACACATCTGTGAATCAATCATTAGATTATAAGAGTGAAGATACAAAGACTGATTTCAGGTCTAATATTTCTGTAAAAGGTTATTTGATTATGAAACAGAATACATTAGCTAAGCTTATTTAATAATGTAGTATTTTAATTTTCCAGGCATGAAGTCCTCAACAGGTTTAGATCAAGTCTGCTGAAGAAGTTTGAGTGTCTGTATGAGGGAACAGCGACGCAGGGAAACCCAACACTCCTGAATGAGATCTACACAGAGCTCTACATCACAGAGAGTGAGAGTGGAGAGATCAGTAATGAGCATGAGGTGAGACAGATTGAGACACAATCCAGGACCTGAAACGAAAGAAATGGAAATATCCAGTGATGAATATAAAGTGTTGTTCATCTTTGATGGTCTGGATGAGTGTCGCCTGTCTCTGGACTTTAAGAGCAAAGTGAAACTGTGTAATATATCTGAATCAGCCTCAGTGGACATGCTGCTGATGAACCTCATTGAGGGAAATCTGCTTCCCTCTGCTCTCATCTGTATCACCTCCAGACCAGCAGCAGCTGATCTCGTCCCCTCTGAGTGTGTCCATCGAGTGACAGAGGTACGAGGCTTCAATGAGCCACAGAAGGAGGAATACTTCAGAAAGAGAATCAGTGATCAGAGTCTGGCCAATAGGACCATCTCACACCTGAAGTCATCAAGGAGCCTTTTCATCATGTGCCACGTCCCAGTGTTCTGCTGGATCTCAGCCGCTGTTCTAGAGAAGATGTTGAGTCAAGCAGAGAGTGGAGAGATTCCCAAGACTCTCACTCAAATGTACACACACTTCCTGATCCTTCAGACCAACATCAAACGTGAGAAGGACTATGAGAAGAAGGTGACAGATGAAGACATGATCCTCAAACTGGGGAAAGTGGCTTTTCAGCAGCTTGTGAAAGGCAACCTGATATTCTATGAGGAAGACCTGAGAGAGTGTGGCATTGATGTGACAGAAGCATCAGTGTACTCAGGATTGTGCACTCAGATCTTCAGAGAGGAGTTTGGCTTGTATCAGGGGAAAGTCTTCTGCTTTGTTCATCTGAGCATTCAGGAACATCTAGCAGCTCTATATGTGCACCTCTCCTATACAAACAACAACAGAAATACGTTTGACCAAATCAACAAACAGAGTTTGTGGTCTAAAGTTCAGGACAGGTTTCAACTCTTGTTTAAACATGTTTCATTATCTGAGCTGCATCAGAGAGCTGTGGATGAGGCTCTACAGAGTAAAAATGGACATCTGGATCTTTTTCTGCGGTTCCTTCTGGGTTTGTCAGTAAAGTCTCATCAGATTCTCCTACGACAAATAATGACACTGAAAAGAAGCAGCTCTGACAGCAATGATAAAACAGTTGCGTACATAAAGAAGAAGATCAGGACCATTGACTCTCCAGAGAAATCCATCAATCTGTTCCACTGTCTGAATGAACTGGGTGATCATTCACTAGTGGAGGAAATACAACAGTATCTGAAATCTGGAAGAATAAAGGAATCCAAACTCTCTTCATCTCAGTGGTCAGCTGTAGTTTTTGTGCTGTTGACCTCAGAAGAGGAACTGAATGAGTTTTGTCTTGATAAATTTGTTAAAGAAAAGAATAAGCCTGAAAATATGGAAGTTCTTCATAAGCTGCTGCCCGTGATTAAAGAATCCAGATCAGTTCAGTAAGTATCACTGAGAACAATCACTTCACTGTTAAACATGAAGAAAATCAAAGTTAAATGCTCATAAATCTTCAGTGCTGCAGATGTTGTCCAGAGTTTATTGGTCAGTATTTTGATGTGTTTTATATCAAATCAGTGATGCCATTAGATTCAGAGACAGAGAAGTGGCAGATGAATACATTGTTTGGGCTTGTCAATAATTTAAGATGTCTTTGCAAAAAAAAAAAAGGAATTTAAGTATGGAATTTAAGGAATTTAAGTCATGAATGCCTCTGTTTTTTATTTTGTACCGTTCTCTGAGGTCCACTTATAATGTTGTCAAGATGTTTACATCAAAAAACATCATAATTTAGAAGTAATAAGCTATTTTCTGTCCTGTTTTTGACCCCCTCATCAGAACACTGTTTGAATAGATGTGGAGGATTGTAGACTCCAGTAAACACACACTGCTGTGATTGGCTGATAGTTGTGTGTTTAACAGTCTTCATCCTTCACAGATGGACGCTGCTGTGATTTAGGTCAAAAGCACATAAATAACTCAATACATATCAAACGATCTGTAAGAAGAGACAAAGCAATAGTGATCACGTAATAAAAACAGTTACTCACACTTGTGTGGTGCCACATCAGATCCAGTATAGTCGACACAACATCGTCTTTTAGTTTCAATCTTTCAGAAAATCCTGCGTCGAATTGTGTCTTGTTTGTAAATGAATACGCAGTAAAATGAAGTGAAAAAAGACAGATTTCTTACTGACGCGGTCTGGATCTTCATTAAAAATAAAGTTAACTCACTCTTTCCTAACATTTGGATCAGAAGGAAGGCAATGCAAAGACTGTTTTTTCCACAGCTTGACACTGAACAGCATCTTCTTGTCTTCAGAGCATCTTTATCGTTGGGTTTCTGCATAGACCTGCATGTTTGTCTCTCTCGTAAACACTGTATGTGTGAATCGGTGGGCAGAGCTAAACAGGCAGTGATGTCAATCTTCTTCTGTGGAGGCGGAGCTTATCTACACTATTACATCATAGACGAGAACATTCCTCAAGCTGCGGTTTTGTCGGAGCTTATCCACACTATTACATCATAGAGTAGAACATTCCTCAAGCTGTCGTTTTGTCAGACTGGCTTCAATAAAAGCTGTTTTTATACTAACGACAAAGTTTTGAGTTCTGAAACTTACAGGAATTTTGACCCCTTTAAACCTCTGACATTTTGCAACAAAGTAATATTATTTATCTTTCTTAAATCAGGGTCATGTTTTTGTTCTGTGACATTTTAGATCTCAGTCCAATGATCCATCAAACATGTTTATTTGTGTTTTGTGATTTGTATTTGTACTTTATTCACTGCTAAACTGATCTGAGAGAGTGAAGAGTGTGTCATTGTTTTCTACAGGTTGAGTGATTGTGGCGTCACAGATGAAGGTTGTGCTACTCTGGCTTCAGCTCTGAGATCAAACCCATCACACCTGAGACACCTGGATCTTTCTAGGAATAAAATAAGAGATTCTGTGAATCTGTTCTCTGATGTACTACAAAATCCTCACTGTAAACTGGAGATACTGTGGTAAGATTATATATGACACGCTGTAAAATATTTGTGACGTGAAAAACGAATCACCCAAAAAAGTCTGAAAACACAATAAAAGTGACATGACATGTGGCCAAGTATGGTGACCCATACTCGGAATTAGTGCTCTGCATTTATCCCATCCAAAGTGCACACACACAGCAGTGAACACACACACCATGAACACACACCCGGAGCAGTGGGCAGCCATTTTTTGCTGCGGCGCCCAGGGAGCAGTTGGGGGTTCAGTGCCTTGCTCAAGGGCACCTCAGTCATGGTATTGAAGGTGGAAGAGAGCGCTGTCACTCCAGCAACAACAATCACTCCCCCCACCTACAATCCCGAACCGACTCTCTAGGTCACGACTTGATCTCAGGTTTGGCTATCCTTGGCTGATGGAGGAGAAACACACACACACACACACACACACACACACACACACACACACACACACACACCACTACTCTATACATATTAATACAGATCAAAATAACAGTATAAAACTCAGCTGTGTAATGAATAGTGTGATTAAACAGATTTGTATGAATGTCTACATAAAACAGACAGTTTGGTTAAAAATACTAACAGTGCAATAAATAAATATTTATTTTTCTTTAATGAGGCTTTACATGATTTATGATCATGTTTTTTTTTGTTCTTTGACATTTTAGATCTCAGTCCAATGATGCATCACACATAAATATTTTGTACTAGAGGTCTGCGCAGGACTGTTTTTTTAGTATATTCACTCTTTGTTCACCTGTTGTCCGCTTAGAATAATTTTCTTCCCAAGCCGACCGTTCCCGCTAAATTTAGATCTTGTTTTCAGAATCTCACATTTAAATTTCCGCTACTGAAAGAAAGAAAGATAGACTAACAAATAAAAGTGTAGTCTGCACAAAATTGTGTTATTTTATTCGTCTTGTCAGGATACAATTCGTTTAACATTTACAACACAATAGAAAAAAAATTATATGTAGGTTGTACAAAAATAGCTTATTAGCTATTTTTATTCGTCTTGTCAAAATACTAAATTCGTTTGACATTTTTCTCTTAACACAGTTGAAAAAGTGTCACAGATAAAAATAAATAAATACGACATCTGTCATTTAAAATGATAGGCTTAGCAAAATATAAAAAAACTGAGTTGAACATCCTTCAAGGACAGTGCATCCACACTTTGCTCCATTCTTATTCTGCTCTGTCACTTATCGACAACCTGCCTGTTCTGTCTGAAGGCCGTATATTTACCACAGGTACAGCCTGCTCTGAGCATCATTCTGCACATGCTGCGCACAGACCCCGCAAATAAAACACGTGGCGCAGAAAGCATGCGTGGTCAATAAGAATAAAGCAGATATACGTCGGGAATGGGATATTGTTAGACCGCCTGCTCCCGCTCAAATTACACCAGAGTTACTGACTGCTAACACGTTTTATTCAGGAATTTAATCCCCCGGGAATGCAGACCTCTAATTTGTACTTTCTCTTTACTAATGGATTCACAGCTAAACTGATCTGATCTGAGAGAGTGAAGAGTGTGTTATTGTTATCTACAGGTTGAGTGATTGTGGCGTCACAGATGAAGGTTGTGCTGCTCTGGCTTCAGCTCTGAGATCAAACCCCTCACACCTGAGAGAACTGTATCTGTCTCAGAATAAACTAGGAGATTCAGGAGTGAAGCGTCTCTGTGCTGTACTGGAGGATCCTCACTGTAAACTGCAGATACTGCGGTAAGATCATCTCTCTGATAGTCTCATGTGTTTGTCTTCAGTAAGATGTGTCCTTTAATGTAAATTCTGACCAGACACACTAAATCTCAGCACATATGACTGAAGATGAAGTTCATTTCATTCATCTTCATCACATCATGAGCTCTTGCTCCTGTTTTTGGCCACCAAACATTTACTGAAGCTTCAGTTGCTTCTGCTAGTTTGATTAATACTCCTTCACCTGCCCATCTCTGTGTAAGAGTTTATTTTCCTCTTATTTTCCACTTTTTCTGAAATCTCATGAGCTCATTGTGTTGAATGTTCTCACATTCAGCTCTGTGTGTCTGTTCAGTCCTGAAGCTAGGGATGCAACGATTATAGATTTTTGTTGGTACGATTATAGTCTGAGGAATAACCACGGTTTCACAGTTATCACGATTATTATTATTCACAACACTATTAGTTTATCAAATCACATGAGCACATTATATTTGAAAGTGTCACTTATTGCTGCCTTTTGAAACAGACATAACTCAGTAAACAAGTAATACAGCACAAAATAATAATAAAAACAAACAAATGTCCATTTCTCTCTTTGGAATTAAAGAAAAGTGAAAAAGGTTTTTGACTTAAACATAAGTAATACTTTAACACTGATAATAAATAACAATCAAAATAAAAAATAGTCTTTGTCTATTTGGAATTAAATATAAGCTACATATTAGCTAAGTATTTCCCTTTTAAAGAAATCAAATGTAGTGAAAGGCTGCTGGACCTCTGTCTGAAAGGCTCTTTTGATCAACTGTATTACAAAATTGTTTTGTATTTTCAGTTTGTGTATTTTTTTCAAAATTTTTTTGGACCCGAGTAGAAACATAAAAAAAACTCTAGCTGGCTTTTTGACTTCAACAGTATAGCTGCCTTTTGAAAAATAAATCATACACAGTTGTGGACGAAGTACACAAATCAAGTACTTGAGTAAAAGTACAGATACGTATAATAAAATATTACTCCAGTAAAAGTATAAGTACTCCTTTTTCAATTTTACTCGAGTGAAAGTACAAAACTACTCGATTTTTTTATGTACTTAAGTAAAAAAGTACTGATAGATTTATTTTCCATTTTTATGTAGGCTACTTAATTTAAATTTATATTAGCACATATTTTTTACTATCCTACTGCTCAAAATACCTGGGATTTTCCCAAAATAACCACTATTTGGACTCAAGATATATTTTTGTTGTTAATATGGACTACGTTGACGAGAGTGATGTAGTAATGTTCACTGTGAAGCTTACACTGCGATGTACCTGAGAGAAAACAGATTTGACTGTTAATCTGATGTTCACCAGAAAGAAAAAAAGTGTTTTAAAGCTTGTTGTTTTGCAGAACATCACAGTTATACGTATATGACATGAGAATAAGGCCTGAAGTTAGGAAGAACATTTTAAGGAAAATATAATTATATTTTCATAATTATTTTTTTTCTTCTCAAACCTTGTCTGTGGTGTAGAAACACACCTGGCCAAATGCCCCCAGAGGCCATCACTTCCCACTTTGATAATTACTGTAGTTACCATGTTCTGAACATCACATCCTTTCTTTCCCTCAGATGTAATCTATATTGGTGGTTGAATAAAAATATTTGGACTTTATATCTAAAAATTACCTCAACTTAGCACCAGCAAGCTTGTTAGCTAGACAGTTAGCATCAGCTAACAATATTTACTTATTTTCAGTATGGTTATGAATAAACATTCATATCTGTCTACTCCGCTAGTTAATCCAAACAATATAACAATTTATACTGTTGATAAACAATATAAAAACAGACGTCACATA